ATTCCTTTTGCAATGAAATGGTATTTAAAATCAATGACTGGATTGAAGTATTTTAATATTGAATTTATAAATAACAGAATTAAGGCTTTTAACTTCGGGTATTTAGAAAAAAAAAATTTACCTAGTTTTTAAGTTTAGAAAAAAGCAATACTTCTGTAGGTCTAACAGCGGCACAAAACTTGTGTTTATTTCAACATTTTCCATTAATATTTTACGATTTTATTGAAAAAGATTTAAATTTGAGGGAGTTAATAACTTCATTACTGAAAATTTTGCAAATTTTGCTTTGAAAAGAAATTCCTTCAGCTTCAATAGATGATTTAAAAATATATATTTCAGAACATTTAAATATAATTCTAAGAGTCTACAAAAAAAAGCTTCTTCCAAAACATCACATGTTAACTCATTATCCGCTTTTAATTAAACTTATGGGTCCCCCCATTCATAATTGGGGCATGCGTTATGAAGGGAAACATAAGGAGCTTCTTAAAGATTCACTTATATCTAACAACTATATAAATATTTGCCTAACTCTCGCAAAGAGATGCCAACAAAATTCAGCACTAGCATGGGAGCGTATTGAGTTCAGAAAAATAAAAAAGTTTGGAAAACTGAAGTTAATGAATTTGAATACTTTTCTGGTGAACTTTTTCAAATCTGACTCTATATTTGTTTTTTCAACTAATTGGGTGGAAGAAACATATGGATATTTGTATCGAGTAGGCTCGCTAATCAAGCTCCCAACTGAAAATAATTACGGTTTAATTCAGGATATTTTGGTTTCTGAAAACAAAGTATTTTTTTATATTCAACTTTATAAAAGCAAACACTTTGTGCGTAATATGTGCTGTAAAGAGTTGGAATGCCTAAGCACATTTAATATTCTAAGTTTTTCTGAATTAATTCATAAAAAGCCATTTGATTTATTTTATGTTGCTGATAAAATATTTATAATAACACAAGATTTATATGACTGAAGTATAAATTATTTTATTTCAGCTGCACACATCACGGAGATATGCGTGATATAACCAAATGAAGTAACTAGCATTTTGTAAATTGTGGGAAATGAAGACTTTGTGTAACTCATTTTCAGTTTCTCTATTATATGTATGTATGTA